GGGGAGGGTGGCGAAGCAGTGGTTGAATGGAGTTACCAGGTAACGCACAGGGTGGAGAAGGAGGAAATACTTCTCGCATCGCACGCGTTTAAGTTGTGAAAATCACTGCTAGTGGTGTTGTGGAGGCCGAGACTATAAATTGTCTCAAAAGAGTTTTGACAGAGTGCTGAGAGGCGTAACGGCTTTTAAGCACAGTGATCTGGATGTAGTTTCCAGTTCAGGATGGCCCGAAGCTGTTAGTTGTTGTAAAGCGGGAGGTTAACACCGGTGAAGGATCACCTCTACTTGGGCTGTTCTTTTTTTGTGAACGCTTCCCACTTGCCCCAGGACCCTGGGTAGCTGGACCTTTGATCTTCTTTAATGTGGCTGTTCATATATGGTCATGAAAGTAAGATTTTAATATTTTTCCAAAGTATTTCTTCATGATCAAGAAAGGCAACAGCTGTGGCTGCAAGACTCCTTGGTTAATGGACAGACAAATCCAAGATTAGGTTGGACATAAACTGGTAAAATTGAGATTGAATAACTATTGGAATGATTTACTGAAGGACGTGTTCCTTCTGGAGTAATTCTCTCTGAAGGTCATCAGACTGCGCTGGTCTCAAGTAATGTAAATATTTTTAAGCCTGGGACTAATTTTATTACCTCTGTTCTTCACACTAAAGAAGGAAGCCCTGGAAGATGTGCTGTTCTGTGCCCGCATCTTTCCTGCAAAGGCAGGCTAGCAGTGCAAAGGGAACAATTCAAGAGAAGAGGCGGGTAGTCCCCAAGCTGTTTGCTGTTGAAGTGCTGCCTGAAAGGCTGAGTACGTTTTTCTTAGTGGTGGTCTCATGGCTTTACCTCACATGATCTGATGTCTGCTTCAGGAAATAAATTTTCCAGGCATTTCCTTAAAATAGCTGCCTCTTAATTATTTCTTGTGAATCTCTTGAGCGTGGTACGACTGGTCTCACAGGTTATGTAGGGGGAAGTTATTTTCGTGAGAACTTTGGATTGTCAGTGCTCTTAGACTTCTCTCAGTTTTGTAAAATTATGTATTTAATGTCTGCTGGATTTTGAGAAGTTGAAGCAAGAGACAGTGGTTTGGGTTTTTTTCAGTATTTATGAATCTGAAACGGTAACATTGTGTATCAGATGAGACTGATTTACATTTGACTTCATATAAAATAAAAAGTTCCCTGATGGCAGACAGCCAGTTTCCACTACCTAGACCTTTGCAATCACTGTCATGCGTCATATTATTTTGTACTCATAATTTCAGAGGTGCAGTGTTAAAGGTAGCTATGGGCAAAGTGCCTCAAGTTAAAGTTGACCAATGTGTGACTACCAAATACTGCAGAGTTTCGCTGGTAAAGCATCTATTTCATTTCCTTCAGCTGTAGCCTGTGGAGCAGGTGATGAATATTGTGGCTCAGGCAGTTCAGAAGTCTCTGTAGTGGAGCCCTGTGGTCTAACACTTTTTTTTTTTTTTGGTAAGGACCTTTCTCTATCCTTCCTGCGGACACCTCTCCCCCTTTGAATTACACAGAAAACATGACTTTAAACAGTAACTCTGAACTTGGTATATCTTGGTCCAGTACAGAGGTTGCTGTGCAGTCTTGCTTCACTTCCTTTGTATAAATGTTTTCCAATACTGTTTTTACTTAAATGATTGCATTCTGTTCTTCCCCCATAAGACTAGGTTGTCTCCTGTTACACAGAACTGAACTTTTCTGAAGACTGAATTAGAGCTTGGATCTTGTGCTCCAATTCTGGCAGAAACTGGACAGCAAAGTAGAATGTGGGAGGAAGGGAATTTTCTCATTCATAATTAAGGTAGTTAAGTGCTGTCTTAAAGACCTGGTTTCATGTGTGTTACAGGACAAGCTTCTTCCACTAGACCTCACTGTTTTATTTCCTCTTCTGCTTGTGTCCCTGGATCTGATCTGCAGAATTTGTGATGTACAACTGTAAGGGCAGTTGCAGCTGAGCAGGTGCTGTGCTTTGACCATATGAAACACTCTATAATGTCACATGCTTTGGAAAAATCAGGCCTTGAGCACCAAGAACTGATGTATTCTCTTTGCCACAATTCTTGCAGGGTAAAATGAGGATAATACTGGAGAATAAGTTAATGTTTAAGTAGCATGTGAATACTATACTGATGGAGAAATTAATAATTCTGATTGTAGAATAGTGTATGAATAGGATGGAGTAAGCAATACCTGAGGTCACACATGTAACAAGCAAGCTTGTTAAAAATGACTATTCATTTTAATGAATATTCAGATTCCTGAATGTGAACACTGCTGTTCACTCAAATTAGAATGAGGGAATCTTCACGTTTCTCTGCTTCTCTGTTTCTTGGATGTATCACTTGTCTTTTTAATCTGCTTCTGTTTAAATATGCAAAGGAAAAAGAGAGAAATGAATGCAAGTTCTTTTTTTGTTTTGTCAAGCTCCCTGGGTTAGTAAAGATACAGGGGAAATTACTTCCTCTGTCTTACTGGGATGTCAGGCTAAAACACCCTTAATTTTCTGTGGTAGAGGTAAAGGGGATAGAAAAGTTATGCTCCCTTAAATTACATGTTGCTTTGATCACACTGATCCGTACCTCTGGTGTGGCTTATCGAAGTCATAAGCAGTAAAAACTGTAGCAGTGCCAAACTTCTTGAATGCTAGGACATGCTGCACCTTTGGTGTAATTTGTTACGTTTCAACAGCTGCTCCTTTTCAGTGTGAGATGGAGGCTGGCAGGAATGGGCTTGTGGAAGGTATGACTGGTGGAAATGACTGCTTGCTTTTTACTCCTGTGATTGTCCCTCAGATGAGAGGATGGGCATGCAGCATAGAATTGGAGCATTTCTCCCCAGCTTGGCATTTCACTGTTCTCATCGCTGACCTATGTAAGCGCTATAGTACTCCAGCTGGGGCCAGGTATGGGCTGGGAACTGAGACTACCCTGGAGAAATGGACTGTCACCTTAGACAAAGAGAACTTTACTACGAATCTTGAATCCATGAGGAAATAAGTGAATAAAGAGTAGTGTGATACAGATAAGACATGAAGTCAGATAGGACAGCAGTGAGAAATGTATGAGCTCTGAATAGATGGGTAATGAAAGAAAAAATATTTTTCTTTATTTGTTATTAAATTAAAAACCTATTTTACCTTGCAGATCACTAGCAGACAGCTAGTCTGCTACAGGAGAAATTTTACCTAACTTGCAAGTAAGTTTCCAAGATGGTTTCAGGGAATCTGTAGATTGTAATCTCAGTATCAATAAAGGTTAACGACTGAGGGAATGCCATCTTGGACACAACTCTTCCTTTGTTATCTTAACACTTTAATAAAATCACTTTAATTTGTGTAAAGTAATTGGATACTGTTAATACTAAATTAACCAATTCCAGGGAAAATAAATGTATCTTGCTAATACGAAATTATCTTTTTCCATATAAGGTTATAAACAGCCAAGAGACACATTACTTAAGCTCTTTCTGACCTCTGCCCTGAGCCTTGTTAATTACGTGCTTTTGAATCTTGCTCACCTCCAGTGTTTTCTGGTTGGTCACCTTATTTTCTGTTAGTATGACAAAGCTCAGTCAGGCTTATTCTTACTACAATTTTTTTTAACTCATGCTTTTCTAAGCTTCAACATGTATGTTAATGTATTGGGGGCCTGCTAAATGAGCTAGGGTTAAATTCTATAGTTCTATACAGACATGGGACTGGAACAATAATTAGTTGGCAAATTATTTATACTTAACATTGGTGTTATGTGGAAAAACTGTGTGAGCTTTTTACTCTCTTGCTGTCTCATCTGTATAACTGGAAACCAGTCTCATGGGACACAAATTCCTGTCTGGTCAGTTTTAGTTCCAAGTCTCTGTGCAAAGGAAAGTTGAAGAAGGGTATTTCAGAAAAGCTGAAAGGGATGAAATCTTTCTTGATATTATTGACTATCCTCCTCCCCAGCTGATACCCATAATGACAAGCTTTGCAGGGCCCATAACATTGGTTCTCTACAACAGAGTTTATAGTATACTTGTGTTCAAAGACCCTGTATACTGCTGTTTGTGAAGGGCATAGCAGCACTAGAATATTAGATAACACTGTGACTTAACCTGAAGAATTACACTGAATAATACTGTATTCACTAACTGCAAGTCAGTATTTTAGAACAATAGTTTAGGGTCTAGTGCCAGGTTTGTTTTTAAAAAGCAGTGTAGACTATTGTTATTGATACTAGCCCAAATCTTTCTGAGTGTTGGGTTTGCTTTACGTTGATGCTGTAAATGTGGAGAGGTTGTATTTAAGTTAGTGTTGGGGGATTTTTTTTTTTTTAGGGTAAATCTACTGAAACAGATTTCCTAATGTAAAAACTTACTTCTCCAAATCCATACTGACTGCAAAGCAGTATCTATCATCCTGTCACGGAAGGTGATTCTCAAGGTCATGTCTACTTGGAAGCCTGCCTTGGTAAGTGCTCCCATTGCAGTGACCTTCATGGTTCACTGCAAGAATGCTGAAGTCCATCTTCAGCTGGTAAAGTTAGGCGGTCTGAAGCTATTCAGCAAGAAGGCACAAGAGACAAACAAGCGAGTATTCTGTTTCTGGATTTTCAGAGGGAGTTTAACAAAGTTCTTTACTAATACTTCTTAAAGGAAATGAACTGCCATGGAGCAGGAGTGTAGCTTTTTCAGTTATACCTGTTTAAAAGTGTAGGAAGAATTGTCAGTTTTTCTAGTGAAAAGTAATCAGTGGAATCCCAGGGGGATCTGTGTTCAGTCTTGTGTTGCTCAACATAGTTATAAATGATCTGGAAGAGAGGCTGAGTAACGAAGTGACGGTATATGCTGAGAATCACAAAATTAGGGTAGCAGGAACAAAAGGTGACGAGTTGCAGAAGGTTCTCACAGTACTTGGTTGTAGGCAAGCTGTACTTGATACTAGTAGATAGAAAATAGTGTGCACAGGGAGAAACAACTAACTGTGTCTATGCAGTGTTGAGCTCTTAAGAATCTGTGCCATTCAGGAAAGATCTTTTAAATAATGCGGACAAAACTCTGTGAAACACTCTCAGCAGCAGTCAAAAAAAAAAAAGGCAAATAGAAATGACAGAGGTCTCTAGGAAAGGGAGAGGGAGCAAAACAGAATGCCATGGTATAAATCCGTGGTATGTTTTTGTAATGAATAACATATCCCCCTGAAAGTTAGGGGCAGACATTCTCCCCTCTCCAAAGATTAGGGAAAAACACAGAAGAGCATAATTGAAGCAGCTTTTATAAAAAGAGTAACCAAATAAACTGGGGCTTAGCCTGGAAAATACACGATTGGAAGTAGGATGGATAAGAGGAGGGATCATGATAGCAATCTGCAGCCATGGGAATATGAAGCAATTGTTCCCTGTTTATTTTGTCACCTGAACATGGCAAGAATGAAAGGGCATCAAGTGGTGCCCAAGCAAAAGGTGCTAACTTGTAACAGTGGAAGTATTAAAACATGACCCCTTGATTCCCCAGAACCTTTCTGGGTCCATGGCATCCTTTGATGAGAAGATTAACAGGTTTGCTGCATGTGTGCTTGTTTTAACCTGCTTCCTGTAGCATTGCTTGATTGCACCTAGTTCTTGTGTTGGAGGAGAAGGTGAGCATTCAGACCCTATCTACCCTTTCTATGCCATTCATGATTTTGTAGATTATCGTATTATTCCAAAGTCGTCTCTCTTCCAGTCTGAAATGCCTGGTCCTGCTGAGTCATTCCTCAGACAAGCTGTTCAAGACCTTTGGATCGTTCTTGTTGCCCATCTCCTAACCTTTCTTCTCAGACTGTATGAAAATTTTGGTCTCCAAGAGTGAATACCTTCCTCTTGCATAGAGTGTTCTATCAGTAGATCCCTGCACATTTTACAAAGGACAATAGTATCGTTGTTTCCTCTTGAAAGATAGGTAGCAAAAGGCACAGAAGGTATGAATTAACCCAGGTGGTTATGAGAACAGACACTTGAGAATGTATTATCTGAGAATAGTGAGGCTTGGAAGTGGAAAGCACTATGCAGTGATAATACTAATTTTTGAAAGGCAGTTCAAAAATTCATTTCTGAATGTGGTTCTCGTCTGTTCTGGATATTGTCCACAGTTTGGGTTCCTGCATCTGTGTAGTTGAACCAGAAAAGCTTACGAGGGGCAGTGGAAATAATCAAAGGTGCAAAATGGCTTTCTGTACAAGAACTGAGTTGTGAGGACTAATAATCCTGGAAAAGAGAAGGCAGAGGGATGACATGGAATTCTGTAAACTCAGGAATGCTGTGGACAGTGTGCATACAGGGCTAGTGTTTGTGCTCTGTTTCGGTACAAGATCTTTACATATTGAAACTGGTGAGTGACAGAATTGAAAGGGGTGGTAGGTGGTGGAATGTCTTGTCAAAAGATGCTCTGGATGCAGAGTTTCTGTGGAATCCGGGGGATGCCCAAGCACATGGGAGGGAAATCCTTTGAAGGTTACTAAGTACACAGAAACCACATCCAGCTTCACAGTTCTCATGAGCTGAAAATAGTTGGAGGCCAGGAGAGTACTCCTAGGAGATACCATATATCTTTTTCTAATACTATTCCTTGAGCATTGGCATATAGCCACTGCTGGAGACAGATACAGTTGTTCCTGTGTTCTTGTTTAATCCTGAAGGATGGGATTCATCTAATGTAACTTGTAATCTCAAAATTAGATTGTTTTTTAAGCTCAGTGGGGTGATTTTCTTTGAGGTGCCTGCCTCTCTGCATTGCCTACAGAGAATACATAACACTTAATTTCTAGGTAGCTATCTTAAATTAGATGAATCCCACCTCTCTTAGGTTTTTGTAAGAACGATAACAAATTACAGACCGAATTCATAAAAGGACTATAGCAATGACTTTGAAGACATCTCTCTTCCAGACTCTCTCTGGCAATCCTGGAAAAGACTAAGAGGTGGTTTGATTATAGTGTGTCAGTACCTGCGGGTGTGGAAATATATCTTCCTGAAAGCTTTTTTAAGTTAGCTTAAGAAAGCCTGATAGCTGTTTGCTGGAACTTGATGTTGAACATACTCAAATTGGAAATAATGACCCCTTTTCTATAGTGCATGTAATAAAATATTGAAGCATTCGAGCATATGAAGAAATGTCCTTTGGTTTGAATAGGAGTTCTCAGTTTGACTAGGTCATATCCTCTGACCTGGGTTACGAGGGAAGTCAGGATTTGTAGCCATCACAATCCATTGCAGTCTCTAAAGCATGAAATATCTTGGTACTAAAACCTCTTAAAACTGAACTCAGGATGCCTTGCTAGTGTAAGTGGTATGACACCTCTAATCCGAAAACTTTACAGGTGCAATTGTAAATGGTTTCTTTTACTGTAGCTGAAATGTATGCATGTGTGTCAAATTCCCACTGATCATAAGGATTGAAAAGTTATCATAGCTGTAGTTCCCATCTAAGTCCTATGTACAAAAAAGTCCTTTTGTATTAACTATACATGCTGCCATTAAGGACATTAAAATGTTATAAGCGGTAAATATATAAGAAATAAAACACAAAAGAGCAACTCAGACGGTTAGATTTTTTTTTCTTCTGAACTTCAGTGTAGAAGAAAAAGTTACTCTTTAGTCTCCTGTTCAAACTATTTTGGAAGGTAAATTGTGCAAGTGATAGCAAATTATAAATAAGTTCCTTTGTGATAGGGTTCAAAATAATTTATGTAAATGGCTCTTTGTAACATTTCTGCTGAATTCAGCAGTGGATTTGTTAGAAAAATTTCTTACCACAGCTATTGCTGGTGTGATTCTATCATAGATGGAGCATCTGGTGATGTTTTTAATACTAAATTTTCAAAGATTTTTCAGTGACTGTATAGAACGGTGTATAACATTACTAGTGGTCGTGTGAACCCTGTCGATTCTGGCAATGGTTGACTGGGCCATTGGAGCAATGACCACTTAGCTGTGTGATCAGAGACCCTTTGGATTTCGTGGCGTGTGGCTTAGTGTCAGCTCCTTTAGGAGCTTGTCGTGGTTTAACCTCAGTCGGCAACTGAGCACCACACAGCTGCTCGCTCGCTCCCCCGCCCCCTCCCCCGGGTGGGATGGGGGAGAGAATCGGGAGAGTAAAAGTGAGAAAACTCGTGGGTTGAGATAAAAACAGTTTAATAATTGAAATAGAATAAAATTCTAATAATAAGAATAAGAATATAGAAAGCAAGTGATGCACAATGCAATTGCTCACCACCTGCTAACTGATGCCCAGCCAGTCCCTGAGCAGCGCGACGTCACATGGTATGGAATGTCCCTTTGGCCAGTTTGGGTCAGCTGTCCTGGCTGTGCCCCCTCCCAGCTTCTTGTGCACCTCCAGCCTTCTCAGTCGGTAGAGCATGGGAAGCTGAAAAGTCCTTGACTAGTGTAAGCACTACTTAGCAACAACTAAAACATCGGTGTGTTATCAACATTATTCTCATATTAAATTATTCTCATCCTAAATCCAAAACACAGCACTATACCAGCTACTAGGAAGGAAATTAACTCTATCCCAACTGAAACCAGGACAGAACTGCAGAACAGCTCTCTTGAGTGAGTGAGTCACCTCATCTATTCTGATCTCCATCCTCAGAGTGTGCTTTTGATTCTTAAAGTTTACCATGTTCTGACTTGACCAGGTAGTAAGAAAAGTAATGATACATCTCAGGGTCCAGTACCATTCTGTAGTGCGTTTTAAAATTAAAGAATTTAAGAGTAGAAGATTAATACTCTTTTTTTTTTCTTATTATTATTTGACAAAGTACCAAAGACTGGCTGAAAGTTGTGCTTTGCAGGAAAACATTGCTTTGTTATTTGCCTGCTTTTTGTCTTCTATAATCAATATAGTTTGCTCCCAAATCTGCTTTGTTCAGTAAACTATAAATAAAAATCAAGCATTTCTAAATAAGAGGATGCAGTTATATGCTGCTTTTTGGCACCACAAGCTCCTCTAAGAGGGTAAGACCTGACATCTGATTACATAGCTAGGATGATACTTCTGAAACTATACTGATGACTGTCCAAATGGCGAAACTATTGTTCTGCCTGTCTTTCTGTCTGTCTTTTGCAAGAATACCAAACTTGAGAGTTTATCCTACCACCTCTTCCACTAGAAACAAGCACAGTTGCACAGTGACACCCATGCTCTGTGCCAGTACAGCAAGGGCTAGTTTTCTCCATACTGCTATGTTATGGTGGTTTCTAACTTGTGATCACTAATAATGTTTTTGCTAGTGCTGGAGTTAGGAGTTCAAGAAGATTTTTGCCTAATTTGAGATTTTCAGAGGCAGTAGAGGCCTGTCCCATAGCTTTCTAGACTTCAGTTTGCAAGTAAGTCAAGCGCTGGCTGACAGTCCCCATCTTAACAGATTGTCATTGTTCAGTTATTTAACTCCAGCATAATCTTTGCATGAATAGAATTTCTTGTGTGTCTTATAGAATAACCTTTTATATCACTAGTATCTGCAATAATTTTTTCCTTTGGAAAGTGATTCATGTCATCTTGCAGATAGGAGAGACATAAAGCATTATTCTGCAAACACACAAGAAACCCTATTCATTCATAGTTTATATTGTGAAGCCAATCCTGTATCCTCAGGATTGGAGTTGGTTTCATGGCAGTAGTCCTAATTACAGAATCTTTGCAGTATATCTGAACTGGGGGCTGTTCTAGAGTCACAACTGGAATGAAATGGCAGGCTGAAAACAACAAAGTATGAATGTTTCTTAACACATCCAGTCTTTCCATTGTTGCTGTTCATAAATAGTAGGTTTTAGTCACCAACCAAAAGAAAGTCACAACAAAAGCCCATTCAAGCTAAGTTTGAGATCAGGTTCCCAGATCTGATAACAGGAATACTCTTCTCCTAGGTTTTGTCTTGATTAGGTTTACATGCTGGATCGTGTTTGATGAATCACTGTAAAATAAAGCTGCAAGCTGAGCATGTGCTGCCTTGGTCAAGCCAGTGAAGAAATGAGAAAAATAGTTCCTACTCTGCATCTATGCGCATTTGTGCTGCCTATACAATTTTATTTTATTTTTTTTTTGTCTTGCATAACTGGAATAAAGTACTCCAGCACCTTGAATAACCTTAGCATGTTTTTGCAGACAGTGATAATAAGGCAAGTGGTAAATAATCACTGAGAAGACATTCATGGTTCAGAAGAGGATATCAGTTTTTTTTATATTGATTCATTGATTACTTCCTTCCCTGACACAGCAGTAAAAAGTGCTGACAACAGAGGCAGGAGGTAGCAATCTTGTGTTAGCCTTGAAAAGTTTGTGTCTGGATTATGTCGATTCCTGGGTGTGATAATACCAAAGAAATACAGACAAATTGGAAAGAGATTAGAGAATGCAGCAAACCTGGCTTGAGGGCCTGCCTTATACTAAAGCAGAAGGGGCTGACTTTGTAACATGGCTGAGCAATGGTTTAGGGCATGAGCACCTAAAATTATTTGGGAAGTGTGAAGTGGGG